ACAGCCGATACCGCACCGTGACGTCACTAACCAGTAGGTGGCAGTAGTGTTCTTTGACAAACATGGATGCCTCCAGTAAAGCACATTCACATGAAAATCAAACTACTTTCTCTACTCATCCGTCTTCCTCTCTACTCCCCAGCTCTATTTAGAGCAACAATTATAAGAATTTAAAGTTTATTTCTAAGGAAATGAAACTGAAATACTTTAGCAGAGAAAAGCTTCCAGATAAATTAATTTTAGATAAAGATTCAGCCTCTAATGTTTCCAGATGTGTTTAAGATGTTTCTCTACATTTAAAATATTCCCACCACAGACATCCTTCACTTATTCCATTTGTTTTGTTTTATGTTGATTTATGAAACTTTTTTTTTTTTATTTGGCTTCTATTTTTAAGGGTTAAAATTGCAAAACTAAACAAAGAAAATAAAGAGAAATGTAAAGAATTAGATGTAAAATATCCAAACAATAAATAATAATAAATGTGTGATTTTTACACCAGTGGGAATAAATCTGATCTCCAGTAAAATGTGAATCAAAGGCTTTGATTGGTTTTTATTTTAGTAATTTTACAAACATCATTAATTCACTTCATGTCGTCTCCCTGCTCTGTTCCTGAGCTCCTCCTCCGTCACAGTTTGGGGGCCACCTGGACCCCCCCCGCCTTCCCGTGCGTCTCTTTCAGCCACGATATCAGGATGTTGTTGGTCTCTGCCGGTTTGTCCATCTGAGTCCAGTGTCCGCAGTCCTCGATGTGTCCCCTGCTCAGGTTGGGGATCTGTGGGGGGGGGCAGATTGGTCTGTGATGTCCCGCCTCCTCTAAGCTGGTGGTTTATTGGATGATCGTCTTACCAGGTCCTCCATCCCTTGTGAGAGCGCCGGCAGCAGAACCGGGTCCTTACCCGCCGTCACCATCAGAGCCGGCACCAGAACCTGGAAACATCCCAGCCTGAGATCAGGGTCGTGCAGGAAGCATGTTTGGGTTCCTGCTTCTGGTTTTAGAGTCTCTAAGAACAGAACCAGCCGGCTCCTGTAGAACCGGGTCTTTAGTTGGACATCAATGTTAGACGTTTCCCTGCTCCACCTGGAACTCATCCACCTCTGCAGAGTCATGCTGACGACTCTCCAGGCTGTCAGGTGTCTTCACTGCTTCTATTTATTCACTGGATTGCCCGAAAAATTAAAGCCACTGTCCGCCATGTTGGTACTCCCCACTACCATGGAGACACGCAGTAAAAATGCCTACATGTGTAACATTTAGCTGCAAAAACAAGCATTTCCTGGCTGTAGGAAGACGTTCCACTAGTAGGTCAGTGAATGAAGCAATAAATCCATCTATTCACCGATGGATCCTATAGTCTGCAGCGTAACGTTAGTCTGTCTATCTGGGAATGACTCAAAGTTAGAAAATAGAGAGTAAATAGAAAATATTTCACTGTGAAATGTCGATGTAGTAGTTTTGTTGTTTTTGCTGTGTTTGTTGTATTTCTCATTTGAAAAAGTAATATTTTATGTTATATTGACGAAAGAAATAGCATTTGAGCCCTCTATATACATATTATTGTTTAGAGTAAATGCTATTTTTTTATAGAAAATTTAACAATTGAAGTTAAATGTTAATTTTTCTTATAATAGTTATGACTGTAAGTCGATGGGAGGTTTTCAGATATTCCAGTAATGAAAATGTAAATCTATAATATAAAAAGAAAAACCTTGTTTATGTAATTTGGTTCATTTCTGTTAAACATGCATTTTTATTTCATTATTTTGTTAGCAAGGAAAAAAGCTCATAATGGTCTCAAACCTTCCCAGTAGGCTGCGAACACATCCACTTCCAGTTGGCCTGGTTGTTTCGGTACCAGTTCAAAGGTCCCCTTTTAGAAGATAAACAGAAATGCTTCAGTTATCAAATAATTCAATTCTATTCAGT